CACACACACACACACACACACACACACACACACACACACACACACGTGTTCTCGGAGCTGGTTCCCTGCTCTGGTGCTGCTCCTCTTGGGGACCCTCCTGGTCCAGGGTGGTGTTTTTTGGAGGGGAGAGTGATCAGCTCACTGATTCAGGTGGGCTGTCACCCCCCCGGGCCCCGCCCCCCGGGCCCTGACCCCCCGGGCCCTGACCCCCCGGGCCCTGCCCCCCCCGGGCCCTGCCCCCCTGGATGCAGTCAGCTCCTGTACTCATTCTCTACATTTTCTTGAAGAGGACATTTTGCTGGTATGTTTCATGCTCAGGGCCCACTGTAGGCAACTGTCAACCTATTCCTGGGGGGGTAGTCCTCTTAGGGATTGTTCCAGTCTTATCCTCCACTCCTTGTTCAGATTCCTTCCTAAAAGCTCTCTGATGAACGGGATCTCCTTCAGGCGCAGGCATGTGTGACTGGTTGGAGCACCAGAGCAGGTATCTCCTTCTGCTTTTGCAGACAACATGGCTGACAACATGGCTTGGTAGAACTCGACCAGTGTGCTGATGACATATCTGTTGTCTACTATTTCTATTTACCTGACTGATTATTTTGATCTTGATTTGTCAAGTGGTTGTTGTAGCAGGCTGCTGAACGGGACGTTTCTGAGGGTCCTTTGAGGCCATTTTGGTTGGCCTTGGCTTTGGTTCATGACACATTCTTTTGCAGTGTTTTTTTACATGCTGAAGGCTCATATTCCTTCACCTCATGGTAAAATATGCAATACGAATATGAAAATGGCTTTTTTCTTTCCCTTTTCAAAATAAGAGTTCATGCCATTGGTAGCTGCAAAAGAGAGACATAGTTCATATGAACCCTGAAAACCTGCTAACTCAGAGTTAGATGTGGCTGATTCAGCTTCCAGCTCGTCCTTCTTAGCATTTACTCCTGTTCCTCCAAAGCACGGTGTGCCTTTAAAGCAACCAGCAACAAGTGCAGCATGTTCTGCAGCCACTCTCATCTGTGAGGAACAAGTGCTACTGACCTACTGCTGATAACACTTTAGTTACCCACATTAGAAACACTGTCAATAGGGTCATATTCAGACATGCGATTACAACGGTTCCCTACCTTAGATAGCCATGACCGCTAATAACCAAGTC